GTGCAGCAGGCTTTGGGGTCTGCACCTAGCCCTGGGGACAGCAGGAGGCTATAGGAAGCACACAGCAGGGGGACAGGAGGTAGATATTTGGGTGGTGACAAGGACCACTGGAGGGGAATAATTCAGTGGGCTCAAATAACTATTCACAAAATAAGCTGAAGCCTGACACAGACCTGCTGGGCTAGGAGTTACCTGTTCAGGAGAGCCACAAGCTGACACTGAATATTTCATTTTTAGGAAGTCTAAACTTATTACTGAAGGTGAGTTTTCAATATCCAGAAAGGCTGGAAGAGAAGCTGAAAATTTCATATACAGCATGTATATTAGAACATTTTTTAGATGATATTTATAGACAGCTTAAGCATACAGTTGGAGAAGTACAGTTTAATAGGGGAAGTCAACACAGGTTTGTGAAAGGTAAATCATGTCCCACAAATGATTACTTTTTAAAATGAAAAAGCTATTGATTTAGAGACAGAGGAAACTAGAGGTTTAATATACACTATCAGAATATTCAGAAAACTTTAGGTATTTTCTAAAAAGTATGATTTTTTTTTTGAAATGTGGTTTCATAAAAACCTGGAAAAATAAGGAAGAGAAAAAAGTAAACACTTAAAACGTAAGTTCCACCACACCAGCTGTGGAGTGAAGTGTTTTCAGTGAGATTAAACAACAAATGATGAGAAAGGATGAAACACTTTTCCATATGCCAATTAATTTGCTGAACTAATGAGTACCAGCTATCCTGGGAAGCTCTCTCTCAAGCTCCTATGGCCACCTTTGTTTCATCTTATACAAATAACTGAAAAGCCCCTCAAATTAATGTAAAATAAGCTGCTTCTCATCCAAAAGAAGGGTAACACCCAAGAGCTGACTTCAAACAGCTTGATGTGTTTGGAGCACGTCTACTGTTTAAAGAACTTCCTTCTCCAAAAAAGCATCATGGTTAATTTGGGGAATGTGTGTTCAACTGTATGACAAACTGGGAAAGAATCCTGGGAGGAGATGACTCGAGGACACACAGCACTAAGAAGCTGTGGACTCCTGAAGCAGGGAAGGTGCTTTAACTGGAGGACAGGTCAGCACTCTGGAGCTCCAGGTCAGCAGGTGGCTCATTCCTGGACATTCAACAGGGCCTGTCACAGAGCAGAGGAGGTACGTGGCACATCTCCAGCTGACCAAGCATTTGACCAAAGCACCACCAATGCAGTGAAGGAACAAAGAGGTGACTTTGCAGAGTACAGCTAGGGCTGAAGGGGCAAGTTCCCCTGGGATCTGGAATGCAGAGCAGATGGGAAAATTCAGGAAAGAGGGAAAACATCTGAAATTTGTAAGAAAGCAGGGGAACAAAGCCTTGTGCTCCTGGACAGGCTGCAGGGTGCAGGCTGGTGTGGACAGGGCAGCCCAAAGCCTCTCACTGGAGCAGACACTCTGTGAACAATGGGAGTGGAGGCACCAGGCTGCAGCTACTGGAAGAGATACCTGTACACTAAAGACAGAATTAACGAGGGGAGGAACACTGGGACTATTAATGAAGAACATAAATGAGGAAGGAACCCATGGGAAATGAATGCATTCAGTTAACATCAGATTTACAAAACCTTAACTATGTTTATACCTAAAAACCCTCTACCTGTTAACAAAACTTTCATGCCTGTGAGTGTGGGCCAAAATTCTAGAAAACCTTTGGATACAGTGGAAAGTCCAGGTGCATTTGCTGAACAGGACTCCCTGGCATGAGAAGACCCAATCCAGCTGGAGATCAAACACCAGGGGTGTTTTCTGTTTCACAGGCAGCTCCTTGGTTTAGGCTGCCCCATTTTCAAGGAAACTCAGTTGGTTTTATCTCATCAGCTGTGCTGTGGAGGAAGGACGTGGGCAGATACTACTTTACAAGGAAAGTAATGCCCACATGCTGGCACACACAGGGGAACAAGGAGAACAAGAATTCTCTCTGCTTCCAATTAAAATTATTAGGTTATTACAGAATAAACCAGAGCCCTCACGCATATCAAGCCATTTTCTACTCAGAATTTACCAAGTGAGCCCAAGTTTTAAAGCGTTACATGCTTGTGCTGCAGGGCCATGGAGCCAGTGACATGCATCCTGCTCACAGGGTAGGAGGAAACCAGATTACAGCCCCTCCCTCCACAGAGCCAGTGCTTTAAAGCAGCCATCAGGTCATTTTCTCATTTTTCATGTGGAAAGACACCAAAAAAAACCCAACCAAATGCAAGTGTGATTTTACACCAGGCTAAAAATGCCTCAATTTTACAGACTATGGTCATGTCCTGTTGGGACAGCTCCAGCAGAAACAGGCTGTGCACTGGAAATGTGAATTCCTGTTTGGAGAGGAGAGTGAAGATGCTGTGGAAGGCGTTATTGCAAGTGCACTGTATCAACAGAATTGGGATAAGTCTATAAATGGGAATTTCCATTAGGATGCTAATGACTTCAGGAACCAAAGGTAATATTTGAGTTTCAACCGACACGGCTTTCTGGGTAGAAGGGGATTTGGTTTTGCACAGCAAATAAGGGAAGAAGCAGAAGCCTGTCTAGAGCACAGAGGCTCCCCTGTAACAGAGCAGAGGGGGCACATCCTGCCCCCCGACACAGCCATGGGCAGGTGGGCTCGTGCCCAGGGCAGGATCAGAATTGAACCCTGTTATCCTGAGCTACTCACCACACTGCTGACCTGCTGCACGTGTTTGCTGTGAGTGGAGCTGTCAGGGGGCAGGCTGCAGCAGCAGGGCATCACTGCACCCAGGCTTGCATGTTTAACTGCACAAGGGGTTTTGCAGGAAGGTGCAGCCCCTCTGGGAGGTTTTACATGCTGCTTGCTTCCTCACAGGGGGTGAAAATGCACTTGCTCAACTCAAAATCCTTATTAAAAAAGGTGCCTTTCATCAGCCTGTTGTGGATGCTCTGCCTAAACACCCTTCTGCCTCAGCAGCAGTTCTGCCTTGGTGAGTTTTAACCAAGAACTAGAGGACATTGGTCTTTTCTGAATATACAGAATTGTTCTTCTAATTGCCACAGTGGTAGAATCCTCTAAAAAAAACCAAATAAAAACCAAATTATGCATCGAAAACCACCTAAACCCCACAAACACCCTAAACCCCAAGTAAATAAGTGCCTCCCCCAGCTTATTTACTACAGACAGCAGCAGAGATTGTTACAAATGGTTTAGGGGCTGGATGTCGTTACCTGTAATAACCAGGCATCACAATGTGCACGCCTGCGCTCGGCTGACAGATGTTTGGTACTTCCTGATCATCCATTTTGCGCACAGAGTCTGTGAAAGGTCCCGTAGCATTGATAACACATTTGGCTTTGACATCAAATTCCTGCCCTGCGAAAGAAAACAGCATCAATCACGTGCACCATTTGTTTTCCCCCTCGCTGACGCTCTCTGTTATTAATCTATCTATGAACTCAACCTACTGTAAAGTGTATCGTGCTTCTCTGAATAGAACAGCTGGAGTGGATTTTAAAAATTAACAAAGTTTTTACGTAACACTGGCTTTGTAAGAAAACGTTTTACAGTGAAGTTCCATCTTATCAGTAAAGGCAGCAGAAGGCAGACTGGGTAGAAGAAGTTCAGCTGAAATCTGCTTCTCAAGGAAGAGAGATTTCAGTCTCAGCCCGCAGACTTGGTAAATGGGGTTATTACTGTACAGCACGTCGCATTTTACTGTATCATCTTTGCCTGACAGAAGGGTTTGGATGTAAAGCTCAGTCTACCCTGCCAAAACACTGGGATTTGAGTGAAAAATGTGACAGAGTGAGGGATGAGTGACAGTAATGCTATGCTGCTGTGCCCCGGGAAGATGGCTCCTTTGTCGGTTCACCGGTATTTACAAACAGCGGCTCCCGCTCCGCCCGCCCTCTGCGCTGCTCCGGGGAGGAGTGGGCCCAGCGAAGGCCCAGCTCCTGTCCATGGCTCCTGTCCCCAGCTCTGCCC